ATATATTATATAAAATATATAAATAATATAATATTTATTAAAATATATATTTATAATTTAATATATATATATATTTTATTCTTTTCTTTATAATTTCAATCTATCTCTCTCTTTATTCAGTTGCTTCAACATTAATAATAATAATAATATAGGCTAAATTTCAGGCCCGGGCCCGGGCCCAGGCTCGGGCTTCGGTCTTTTTATGAGGGCCGGGCTCGGGCCCAAATTGTAGGCCCGATGGTCGGGCCGGGCTCGGGCTCGGGCCTTAAAAAAAATTGTTAATACACAGTAAAAGCCCGGCCCGAGCCCGGCCCATGAACATGTCTAGTTGGGCCCGTTCCTTTTTCGTAAGTTATTTACCAAGGTAAATGCACTGACTCAGGATCTCCTCCCTACACAAACTCTGCCCACGTCTACCCACAAGGGCCACAACACATTATCTCCGTCAATTAGGAACATCTCCCCCGGCATAATACTATGTAAGAGGATGAGAAGTTCTCTATATGTGGCTGCGATGTTATGTGGGTAGACATGGGCAAAGTTTGTGTGGGCAGGAGATTCGGACTCAAATGCATAAGTTATTCTTAGGAAAGACTTTTCGAGGTAAGTGCATTTACCCATGTTCTTTTTATTTCTCATGTAAATAAGGCAATGGCCATTTTAACCATAAAAATCCCTTATTAAAAGGGGCATCTTTGTCTCATTCAAGTGTTGACAACTTCCCCCCTCCCCCCAAATGGGAAAGTTATTTACCCACCTAGGAAAATAAATTTTTCTCGGTCCCCACGTAAATCTAAAAAAAGAACATGGGGTTCTTGGTCAATGAAAATCAAAATCCCATTGACCAACTTTCCCCTTCCAAAATCCAGAAAAAGAAGGATCCCTTGATACGGGGGCATTCGATCAAACTGCTAAGACCAGACAATACCAACATTATTGTTATTGCGGTTATTTACTAGAACACCCCTATAGTTTCATTGATTTACTTAAACTATGCTATTAGTTTTCATTTTACTAAAACACCCCTACAATTTGCAACTATTTACTTAGGCGATGTTTGGCATCAATGCCATTTTTCTAAGAAAACAGCGCCACATCGATGCCATGTCAAAAAACGCGATGCTTCAGAAAACGACCTCTTATTTGGCATCATTTTTCTAGAAAAAGACGTTGCTCCAGACCACGCCTTGGAAATCGGGAAAGTGTGGTATGAATAAATGCTAAATTCAATGTTTTCTCAGAAAACAATCCATTGTTGTTAACGGTGACATCATCTTGCGCACTGGATAATGTTAGACCAATGCTGAAAATGGTTATACAAGACCGATACCAAACAAAACCATTGTTGTTCTCCCATAAAACAGTCTATGTGGCAGCATTGATGCCAAACAAAAAAATGAGTCATTTTTCACCAAGAAGTGTTTGTATTGACAAGAAAATAGTCTAAATCATGGTTTGTTCCAAAAGTGTCCCTAATGCTTTATAGAAAAAAAATGACCAAATAGAGTGGTTGCTCGTTGCTTTTTATTTTTATTTTCTTTTGATTAAATTTATTCAAACAAACATTAGGGTCAAAACTATCATTTTCCACTATCATCTAATGGAAGGTCAATTAAGTAAATAGATTGCAAACCATAGGGGATGTTTTAGTAAAATACAAACTACATAGTAGGTTTTAATAAGGCTATGTTTGGTTTGAAAGAATAGAGGAAAAGGTAGGGAAAGGTGGTGAAACCTATACAAGGTTTGTAAATGTTTCCCTACCTTTCCCTACTTTTTCCTTCAAACCAAACATAGTCTAAATCATGATTTTCAAAATTGGACTGGACCGGACGGTTGGACCAGAAAAAAACAGGAACCAGTTAGGTCTGTTTACCCAAAATCATTATTTTCCCAAAAACCATTGATTTGGTCAACGAACCGCTGACCCAAGCGGTTGAACCATCCAACAGTTTGGTGATTTTTTATTTTTTGTCAGATTGGGCTGTTTGTTTGGTTCGAACGGTCAGACTTTTGACCCCAAAACCAGACCGCTGACCGGTCCATTGTCCGGTTCAGTTTTAAAAATCTTGGTCTAAATGACCCTTATTATTGAGCCGCTTTGCTTAGTTAGGCTTATTCATGTCTGCTATGCTTGAACTCGCAAAAGAACCTTCTACGATTTCATTCAAACATGGATACATTGAGGGGCTGTTTGGTAGTAGCTGAAGTGATTCAACTGAAAAAGCTTGTTTCTTTGTTTAGTGAATTAAGGTGGTTGTGAGCTCCTTAATGGCTTTAATGCGTTTTTCAATTCAGCAAGGTCATGCTCCTATAATGCATATCAGCATATGTCAAGTGACCGCTTTACCATTTCCAGCAATGCCATGATAAGATTCAGTAATTTGGAACATGTCACGCCTATTGGGACCATAGAGACTATGGGGTGTTTATTATTGTGAAAATTCCGTGAATTCCTTGGTTTTTTTAATGTGGACTGTTTATTACAATCAATGACCCAAGATAGTTTATTAAAAACTGTGTTAAGAATACACCCACTGACCCACACCACAATGTAAAGCCATAGAGATGGCATTATTACCATTATTTAGTTGATGACGCTCATCTAGGGAGTATGATAGTCCCACCCTCGCAAATGGAACTGATGTCCTAATTGAGTTGGACGCACAACAAATAAAGTCTTGCCAACTTTGACGAGCCAAAGTGGAAAGACGAGGAGGTGCATCAAGCAAAACCTGCAACTAAAACACGGTCAGAGATTGAGATTTTTAGGATGAGATCATCGGGAAAGGCATTCTAATGTTCAAGTCAATAAGAGGTGAAAAGGTCGGCCAAACCAAGTTATAAAGGGCGAACTAGTCTGGACCAAACAAGGTTGAGAAAGCAAAAGAGCAAAAAGGCTAGAGAGTGGAAGAGATTCATCATCGAAACCTCCGATCATGCTTTGGTTGTAAGTTCTGATCGATGCATCATCTCGTTCTTCCACCTCAACTTCATTTATTGCGTGTCCACCTGGTGCGGACAACATCAGGAACTAATACCCTTGGTTTTAGAACAGCAACTCAAACGGGTTGTATTAGGTTGAAGGTCAACCAGGCCCAATTCTAAAGGTGCAAACATCATGCCCCAATTTTCTGGCCCAGGCCTGACCCGTACAGAAAACCCAGATTGGAACGAATCGAGAATACTAATTCATAGTTCCAAAAATAGCAATCCCCCACAATAATTTATCATATTCTCCACCTGGTTCAAAAATCAAAACACAATCACGAAATAAATTACCAAACACGCTTTAATGTATCATATGCTTCAAAAAATGCATCTTAGTTTCAAACAATGGGTCCTATTTTCTGGACCATGCCAATGATTTTTCTTTTGCAACCATGAAACAAACACTGCTTTGATAACTTGACGCTCATATACAGCAAAAACGTCAATTTTCGTCCTTTCTACATGAAGATAAAGGGAACCAAGGCTTGTATTTATACTCCTTCCAAACTGAGCCTACCGTTTGACAATTTTAAATTGTAAGACAAACTCGAGTTGTGTGTGGTTTCATTGCTATTTCTACCTGTTATGTTTAAGGTTGACCAACACAATTTTGTGAGTAAAAATCTTTCATATTGATACAAATTGTTATTTCTACATGAAAGTCAATTTTGGCCTTTCTTCTTTAAACACCAAAAAAAAATCTCTCTCAACGCCAATGATCAATCCCAGGTACGCATTTTCTAGTTTATCTCATGTGATGTGACAAGACACCTTTCTCAAAAATTTGTATCGACCAACCCCAAATTGAAAAGAAATAGCCATATGACCAGCAGAATATCTGAATTCTCAAAGCAGGGCACAAATTAAAATAAACATCTCTGTTTTAATCGTCATTTCTTGGGCCATTGTCCTAAATCATCTTGATTGTCATTACTCTCCATATTTCGTGTAAATAAAAAACTAGACCAGTATATGGGTGAAGTGCAAGCCTTAATAGAACAACCATATATTGGACTTAACTGTCCAATTGAAATGGTTCTGACTGGAACTGGCCCCCAATCCGGTTCAATGAAAATAGCCAGTTTTCGGTTTTTAGGTTGATCGGGAAACAAAAGCCAGGGAAGGGAAAAGCCACATTCTGCTTTAGTGCCCAATTTGCTTTTCAAAGCATTGATAAATAGTCAAAACTTCCCATTTGACAGCGTGATGTATCTGAAGGACATGATATACAGTTCTGCCACTGGTAGGTCATAAAGAAGGATAAAAAAACAAGGTAATTAAAGAGATTCTAAGTTTCTAACTAACTTTAATGACAATGAGAATACACAGAGCATCCATAACTTTTTCATGTCTACAAGTCATGGATTTCACAGAGAAAATCAAGAAACAAAGCACTCTTTAAAGTGAAGGAATTAACTAAGACCCTCCAGAGTTCTTTGATCCATTGCCGTAAACCCTTCTTAACCATTTCCTTTGTGCTGTAGTGGGACTAAAAAACCTTGATTTAGATGAAGATTGGCCTACTTCAGATGCTCCTGTAATGGGCAATTCAGCAGGAAGAGCAGCGGCAGTGCTGGTGAAGGCATTTAAAACTAGAAAGGCTAGAATAGGAGAGAGATCCAGTGTCCCTCCAAGAGGTGGAATAATCCCTCGGAATATGTTCAAGTAAGGATCACACAAAGTGCTGAATGAAGGAGAAAAAAAAAAAGAAATTCCAAATCAAAACATTTGAGGCATAGAAGACAAAAAAAAAAAAAAAATCAAAACAATCACTGCAAGGATAACAACAAAATCAGTTGTATAGGCTCCATTAGAATTTTAAGTGTCTAGAAAATCAGATAGCATATCTTTGTACGGTACACAATCACAGGCAAGCAAATTTGGAACTCCAATAGCTCTGATTGCTAAAGATTGATTTTTCTTTACACTAGTAAGTCGAGAGCATTCATGAGGGTTAAAGAAGCACACCTGAGAGGGCTAACAATGGCCGGAGGAGTGTTGGGAAACCAGGTCAAAACAAGCCGGACAATCAGCAGAGTGTTATAGATGTTCAAGAAGTTCAAAATTCCATTTGACACCASAATCCCCGCCAYTGAATCACCAGGTAAAATGGCAGCAAAGTTGTGGTTGTACAAGGTATTGAGACTCCTGGAATTTCTGCAATGAATCTGAAAGAAGATTTCAATGTAGTACTCATGTTTCTTAAGAAATAAGAGAAATTTGTGCAACTTAAGTCCTGATAAGAGTTATATGTGCCAACCATTTACTCATGCTGACAACCAGCCCAAAACCCCAACCTAACTGTTAATAATCTGACTAGATCAATATGACTAATTTCAATGTAGTACTAGTACTCAGGTCTCTTAAGAAATAAGAGAAATTTGTGCAACTTAAGTCCTGATAAGAGTTATATGTGCAAACCATTTACTCATGCTGACAACCAGCCCAAAACCCCAACCTAACTGTTTTCTTGTGTTCCTGGGCTACCATAGCTCAAACCAGTTAATAATCTGACTATATCAATATGACTAATTTCCATCGACATCTCCATCATCTAAGGCTTGTCCTTACTGACCTTCATCTCCAATGTAATTTGGCCCTGCCTGAATCTAACTAATTCCCCAGATTTCCCCTGTTAGAGATGGCACACCTCAATGGAATTTGGATCGTCAAGAATCAACCCATTGCCACATTTAGGTAAGTAAGTATCTGAAGCAAAATGACCAACTCAAATACCATATGAGAACTACTTGGCTGCAGATATAACTTTCAGGACAGACAAAGTCTACATTCAGACTATAAATTTTTCTCTTGCAGGAACAATACGAGTGTTTGATGTTTGAACAGAGAAAATAAACTCCTATCCAAGCGAAGGAATGAAAGAATAGCTTTTCACGTTTGGTTTGAACATATCCTTTAAGACAAAATTCTGATTTATCCTAGTGAAGGTTTTGTATGAACGAAAATCCCTAACCAAACAACTTATATATGGTATTTATAATGAGATACTATTTTGATGATGGGACGACGGAAACAGAAAGCAGCAGTAAGCCATTACGAACGAATTATGAAATAGAATTTAGGAAAGTATTTCCCACCTTTCCCAATCAATTGTACGTACAAATGCCAATTGTGGGCAGACATTGTTTCAATTACTTGTCATCCTTGGATATGACAGTCTTGAAGTGAAAATCCATAATTGTCTATATCAAAAGGATTCTAAAGTTTTATGACAGTCTTGAAGTGAAAATCCGTAATTGTCTATATCAAAAGGATTCTAAAATTTTTCATTAGGGGAAGAAGGGTGCAGAGAATTACCTGGAAGAAGTTGCAAAAATTGGTAGGTAAAGAGAAGAGATTCTGAAGAAAAGGATTTGCAGAAATGATTGTGTTTAAAGTCTTGAAACACCGATCAGCGGATGATAACAGCGAACTGTGTAGCACCTGGATGATATCGGGGGGTGTTGAAACGAGATTGGGTTTCAAATGTCGAACACGTGGGGGAGAGAAAGGTGTTTGAGGAAATGTCGAAGCAAGTAAAAAGTTGGAGACCATTTTGGCTTCGTAATTCGCCTCCCGAATCTCCACCTCATTTGATGAAGAAGAAGAAGCCATGTTTGATCTGCCTGTTGCTGAGCTGAAAGAGAGGAAGCCTCCGCTGTTCGGCCTTGAGAAGGATCGACTAGATAATGTTTGGATTATTCCTCTCGAGTTTCCTCCCACGTGGCGGCAGCGTAGGAAGGTCTGTGGCGCCAGCACCCCCGCTTGATGAGAAGATTCAAACGGCATATGATTCAAAGTTTTCATCGTTTAGTCGGTTTAAAACATTTAAACGTAAAAAATAAATTTAAAAATTAAATTCATGATATAAAATATTTTAGACTCAGAAATATGGAAATTTTTTCATTTTCCTGTATTAAAAATATAAAATATAAATATATATCTATATTCGGATCATTCAATTTTGGTCAATTTACAAATGGGCAAAGCGAAACTAATCTCACCTTGTCAGTTTCATTAGAATGATAACAATGCTAGCTGAAATTAATTATTATTATTTTTGTGTTATAAAAAAATTATTAATAGTAGTATATAAGGGGAAATCTATGATGTGGGAAAGATATGGTATCGAAAAAGTTTTGACTAATGGAAACTCACTCTTGAATTTTGATAAATAACACCTATTGGCTATCACGTTTTATGATACGAGTTGATTGGTCAAATTTTTTTCAAATATCGTATTTTTTCTATATCATTATCAAACTCGAAAATATAAAATAATTATTAATTACTTAATTTTTAAAAAATATAAAACAATTGTATACTCTTATGTGTTTTTATTATTTAGCTTTCGCTTAACAAATCTCATACATCGCACAGGTCCCGCTAATATTAGATATAGGTTGACTAGAATCCTATATTGTAAAGTTGTAATTTAAACACCGTAAGAATAATATCATATAAATCTAACCCTTTAATTCAGGGAAATGAACCTAAAGGATTTCTTATTTCATTTCTTGCATCTATATTCATGCATTAGTGAAGAATAACCACTTATACATGGCAATAAATTGTCAAATATAGGGTAAATGGGCAAGTGGGTAAGAAAATATAAAGAATAAAAAATAATTTATTTTCATATGCATTTATTCCTATTTTTATATTTATTTATTTGTTCAATGCACCAACACAAGGCATTATTTTTGTCTTAAATTTCTATTTTACCCTTATATAAGCCTTCATATTTAACATTAGCATGTCAAATAATTAAGGCTCAAGCCTTGAACATTACAAGGCCAAAGGCGCAAAGGCATAATTCTCGAACAACCGAGGGCCTAATCCTTGTGGAGTATTATGGGATATGAGGCTATTGAGGTTAGGCATTTTTTCCCTAGCCTCACTTCAAGGTTTTAAACAATGGGTGCAATTGAAGCAATCTTTAATCAAACGGTTTGGGCTTAATTCCATTAGGCTCAATTTGAGTTTCTCAAGCTCGACATTTTATTGGTCAAATTCAAGTTACAAAATTAATCAAGCTTATCTTGAGATTCAAACTTGATTAAATATAAGAGTGTTTGGTCGAATCAAATTAAAATTCGAATTTAAATATAGGCCATGTTCTTTTTTTGGAAACATATTTACCTGGGTAAATGCATTTACCTTATCCATGTTCTTGATTTGTTCAATTTACTTAGGTAAATGAGATTGCGTACTCTCATATGTTCTTTTCCAACATCCACTTTCCTGGGTAAGTTGGTATTTTTTTCACATCTTGCCGATTTTTCCCTTTGGGCCTAAATCAATGTTTCAAACAGCATTGCAGTATGCACCATGAGTACAATGTTTTGTTATTAAAAACTGAACTCTAGCCCTATACACCCTTGCAGTATGTTAATTTATTCTACATTTCCACAACAACTTCAAATCAGAACAGATGTCAAAGCACTTCGGCCCTTCATTACCCAGTTCTAATTTATTCATTTGTTTTGTTCATTTGCAATGCAAATGAAGTAGAGCCTGAAGCAAAGTAAAACCTGGAACAAAAGTTATTTAAAAATTGCACTCTCTTTTTAAGAAAACTAAAACCTGAAGCAAAAATTGACCAAAAAATTGCACTCCTATACATTTGTATCAGTGCAATGCATTTTGCACTGCAAACAAATGAAGCATAAATAACAGAATGGTGATACCTGGTGCTTTGTCACTACATAAACCATCAGACTTCAATGGCATTACAAACAAATGAGTAGAGTGCACCATTTTCTCCTTCAACCCCATAACGGATGCCAAAGTTGTTTAGATGAGGAGAGAGAAAGAAGCTTGTCAGAACTGCAGTACAAACAACTACAGAGGAAGCCTATGTCTGATTATTATGTTGTTGATGATAATGACGAGGGTCTGAAGTAACCTCCATGTTAGAAAATTGTAAAGGAAGGCTTTGGGGAAGTAATGAACTTAAATAAAAACCTTCCTTTACAATAATCTACTGGGTGGAAGCTAATTGTCATGTTATTAATATTCCTTACTCAACAATGGCAAGTTTGGTGCAATGTTAAAATTCCATTCTGACAAACATGGGAAAGAAGGCTCTGAGTCCGAGAATGGCCAATTCATTCAAGAAAATGCCCGAATGTTGGGTTCATTTCCAGTCCACCCCTCCCAAGGTCCTAAATAAATAGGACCAACATTAGGTAATACTCCTTTTCATTGTAAGGATGAGTCTTTAGAACTAACACAAGTCAATCTGTTTTTATATTTCTATTGCAACAAGAGAAAGGATCAACAATACCAAATATTGCTGAAAGTTTAAACTTTAGAAACCTGAAGTGGAGATAGATAGCTTGAATCAGTCATATTACAAACTTGCATTACTACATCACTTCCATTTCATGCTTCACTATAGCCAAAAGTCATCAAATGATTTGTCTTTTAAGATATTGCTCATGATAAGCAATAACTTTTCAAGCAATTACACTACCTCTATGTAATCAAACGATATTTTGGCTGTAAAAACTAAACAAAACAATATAACAATCAAAGAAAAAATGTAACTCCATAGTATAAATGCAACTTGAACTGACAAGAGGAGAAAAGCCTTATGTGGTTGCCTAAAAATGTATTAAAGAAGCTATAGAAATATCCATTCACCTCAAAGCACATAATTGCAACTAAAATAATCTCAAATTTTACATGGAATGATTACATCCGTTCACATCTAGTGATCTAGATGAGTCACAATGGGCTCTAGCTCACTGAGTTCTACTGACAAGCCTCACAACCTAGGGGAGGCTAAGGCTTGTGACTCTAAATATTAGTAACTATGTGATGTTCATCCTTCATGTCCCCAAGGTTTATGTTTCCAATTCTAATGTTAGTTCCACTACACATAAGTAGTGATGAGGCAAGCCATAGTGATTGTACTCAAGTTCATTGAGGCCACTTGTTCCAATTCTGATAAATGTAGGAATGAGTTTAAGAGGGTTAGGATGTGTTTAGGAGTGATCATAGGACAAAAGATAAATTTGTCCCAGTAGCCAGAACAAATTGCCATTATCATAAGAAAAACCAATATTATCTAGTGACTAAAATTCTAAACATAACTAGGGGTGGCAATGTTGATCTTGACCCTTTTGACCCACCCGCTTCAAAACCCACCCATTTCAACAGTGGGTTATATGGGTCAAGTGACCCATTAGGGTCAAGGAAAAGAGGGTTACGGTGGGTTGGGTCAAGGGTGCCCATTGGGTCAAAAAGGGTTAGGTCACTTGGGTAAGGAGAGGGTCGAGAGGGTAAAACCGTAAGAGGAGAGAGTCGAGAGAGAGTTGCTGCAAGAGTTGAACTGTCGAACAAAGATCTCTGGGTTTTTTTCAGTTCTCAGTCGAACGAACTTCCACCATTGAAGATTAATCCATTATTTAAGTTTCAGATCTTTGCTCTTTGTTCCACAAAGAACTGCGAATGGACAAACTTGTTTCAAGTGCAAGATCGAAAGGTGTTAGGGTTTCAATCCATTCGCGGTTCTTTGTTCCGCTATTGAAACAAGTTCTCCACCATTGAAACAAGATTATCCTCTCAACCGTTGAAACAAGTTTGTCCTCTTAGTTTCAATGCCATTGTTTCTCAGAATTCTCAAATCTCAAGCCGCATGTACATCAAAGTTTTGGATAGGTAAATCTTTTGACATTGCTCAACCTTCATTGATTATTTGCCTCCCATAGTCATATTGTTCAATCAAAAAGTTGAACATGAAACATGTCTAAAACTTGTCCCTGTTGCATATATTTTGCGCCAAAAGTGCCCAAAACATATATTTACTCTCYARTGGACAYAGAAAGATCCCCATTGGTTAGGTGGGATGATTCATGGCAAGTTGAGTCATGGACTCATGGGAATCTCTCTGTATTGGACGACTGTTGGAAGAAAAAGATAAAACAGAGAAAAGAACGAAATGGCTACAAGGCTGCTAGACTGGATCAATGAATGTCTCCCTTAACTTGGTGCTTGTAATGGAGMTTCATTTATTAAACACCGCAGATTTACAGTATAGTCTAATGCAAATCGACCCAGCAAGTATGTCTTCAGTTTGTTCTTTTATCAAATATCTAATGGTCGCTTGTCTTCTCCTTATATCTCGTCTAGAGGTGATGGTTCTAATTAAGTTGGGTTGATGTGAGCGTCCATTCCTGATAACTTCATTTCTCTTATTTTGTTTAAGCTTGACGATGACTTGTCTGAACTTAGATTCTGAGGCTGCCATGCACCCATGCCCATTGAACATGGTCACTGTTTTATGACAATCTTATCTAATATCCAGCACTGAACCCCACATCAGTTATGTAAATTTAAATTAAGGTCCACGGCATTGACTGATTGTTAATTAAATTGGAGCAATGGAGGTCACATCTTCTACTATGCTGCACAAGTCCAAGCTCATAACAATTGTTTTATTATAATTTATAGCCTCAAATCCGCTACTCTATTCAACCCACTATGAGTCCTGTTTGTAAATATTAATTTCCCTGGTTGTTTATTCATTATAATATGGTTTGGTAAAGAAGTTTTCAGTCAACACCATGGGATGGTCTCCAATGAATAAAGAATATTGGATAGAACAACAAAGTTGCAGCAGACTGTTTGAGTTTAAACATGAATTCATTTATAAAGAATTATCTTCAGAACTTTAAAGAATATTGATAGAACTTCTCTGTGTCATC